ACGGTATGGTTTTCAAATAAAAAAGTTTTTGAATTTTGAATAAATAGCTGGAATTTTTTACAGGCTTCCTAATGAAAAGGCTTTAAAATTATATGTGGAATTGTTTTACAGCCTTCGTCGAATGGGCAGAGTCTTTTAAACAGAACATATGTGCGTCCTTTAGCCATTAAGAAAGCCCCAACAACATTTGGATTGAATGCAATTATGTGGTTCGGAGGCCCATTTGAAATTATATAACTTCGGCCTATATTAATGACAGAGACTGATCGGACGGTCTAAAATGGACTACTACGATCGAATGGCCAGAAATATTTATGGCAACTATAAAAGGCAAGACTTCATCGTCTCCGACCCTCGTTACTCTCCGTCTCCGTCCCATTCACTCTCTCTTCTGAAATCTCGACCCATATTCAATTTTTGTTTTTAAACAACGTTTAGTTTTTTCATTTTATCCAGAACTTTGATGTTTTAATACGTTTTTGTTCGGTTTTGTTTTTTTCTTTTAAATTACGTTTGTTTGTCCGGAGAAATACACCAGTTTAGTATATAAATTTTCAATTTTTTATGTGATTTTTTAANTCTATTAAAGCACGTTTTTTAGATTTTAGTCTCGGAGCAAAAGTTTTTTTTCAAATAACCATGTCAATGTGACATGAATTTATGCGGTACACGTCATAAGTAAAATTCGATCTAAAGTTTTATGTCAAAACTGTGTTGTGTTGGTGACTAATAGTTCAGATCTATTGTTGAAACTAATATTTTTGACATATCTGCATTCTGGTTCAGATCTATTGTTGAAACTAATATTTTTGGCAGATCTACATTCTGTGGTCGTTAGAGTGTTGTTGGCCAGAAGCAGAGTGGAAGTCATGCTTCTTATATGATATTTTTTTTTTTCGAATTGCGAGCTTTTGTGTCGAAATAATGTATCGGTTTTGTGATGGATTTTTGTTTCAAAAGCAGGCGGGCCCTGTGGGATGTTTGGTTTTGGGCTTGTGGGCTTGTGGAGAAGCTCGACTATAGCCGTACGAGGCCCACAGGTGGCATATCACCTACTTGATCAGCCCCACGTCCCAAAGTTGATGTCGGGTTATTAAGTGGGTGTTAGCCCCCTGTGAGACTCGTGCCAGCTAATTACGACGACTAGATGTGCCTGTGATTCGGACTCGCCTACCAGCTATTTTCTAGTTTTACAATGATATTGGTCTGCCCACTCATTGTTTGAAAAACCTAGATTTTTCTACTTTAACCTTGATATGTAGAGGTATAGCCGTTTTTATGCTATATTTTTATTTTTTGAATATTTGATTGATATGGTTGTATCATCATGACTATTAGTGTAACGAGCTTCTTGTTTTCATATGTAGATTAGTACCAATTCACCTGCTCATGAAACAATTGGAAGAAGAATGAATTTATACATTTGATATTCTCGGTGGGAAGGATCCAAAGGAATCAACCTCATCGAGTTTCGTTATATTTGGAATGCTGTTTTTTTGGTCTCTAAGAGGGAATGCTATGACTTACTCGGGGCAACAAATTAAGAAGCGTAAAATGTCTTGATCTTAGGATGTGAGTTATGGAACTTTTTGACAAAGTTTCGATCTTGTGATGGAAATTATGAAACTTTTTATAAAATCTCAGTTATGGAATTGGAATTATGGAATTTTTGATTATGGGTCTGCTCTATTTTTTTTNTTGCAAGCACTGATCTTTTTGGGTGCTTTGTTTGTTGAATATGCTTCTTGATTGATTGTGCACTATTAATTGTTGTGATATTTGGCCCAATACTCTTGATTCGAGGAACATTTTTGGTTGCATTTGTTCGGTGCTAATAATTCGTGCGCGCGTTCGTGCGTGAATGATTAATTATAATTATAATTCAAAGAATAACTAAAAAAAACTGCAAGTCTCGGTTGGCCTGTTTACAACATCTTATAACTTCATGAATGCATGCCTGTGAATGATCAACTAAAATTCAAAGAAGGGGAAGTGTGATATCCTCCTTTAAAAGAAAAAATTAAAATTCAAAGAATAACTACAAAAAACTACACGTCTCGGTTGGCCTGTTTACATCCTTTAACTTTATGAATGCCTGCTTCAGTCTTGACCTTGTGTATTTGCTTAATGCATGTCATTCTCTTGACGGATATTATTTGAAAAAAAAAAAAAAAAAGTGAGGAATTATCTATTATTCGGAAAAGATGTGTGTGGTTTTTTGGTAATTTAGACTGAACATCAAGGATGTGTTTTGTAATTAGATGTTAACTTCTTTTTGCCCGTCATGTGATTGTTGTAACCTGCCGAAAGAGAGAATGGAGGAGAAGGCTGAGATAAGGAGGATGAGAGACCTCTATCAGCAATAAAAGGAAAGGGAATGAGAGAACTCTATCAGCAACAAAAGTAAAGGGATTCAGTCGCCTGATTTACTAAGATACACTGTATTTTGTTGTGACTCTCCTATATTTCTTGTCTTTTTAAAATGTAAAGCTATCCTGCTCTTTTGTATTTGTATAAAGTACGGAATTTGTGATAAATTGAAACTGGTCTAATTTTATTATTTTTTAACCATTTTTGTTGAGATCGATTGATTTGAGTTTATAGTTCATGTGGATCCAGCTTTCTCGTACATACTCGGTGGCTGCTTTTTAGTTTTGTAAATAAGAGTAATGCTATGTGTTGATTGATTTGTGTTCTGCATTAAATTAAGTAAAGATAAAAATGGTGGTTGCTTTTTAGCGTTGTAAATAATGCTATTTGTTGATTGATTTATGTTCTGCATTAAACTAACTAAAGATAAAAATGTATGACGAGTCGATCTGTCTTGTGCCATGAAAAATGGTTTTAAGTTTTGACATGATGGTTTTCAGTTTTCTCAAACAATCACTATTTAATAATACAAGCAAAAGCCTCAAGTATCTAACTGTTTCTGTATATGATCATGAAAAGTTTGTTTTGTGATTAAATAAAAGTGAATAAAATGGAAATATTCCAAACTTAGGATGAAAAATTAATTTTAACTGAATCAAAATTAGAAAATAACTCCTGGAAGAGGAACACTCTTTTGCTACATCATGTACCTTAGATTAAACTTATATGAGCAGCATTTGGTAAATCATGTACCTTTTTTATTTCTATTGTTCAGAAGAAATTTTATTCAACTTTAGTACTGTCAGCCATAATCCACACTAGGCTTTGAGAAAGCTCATGTATCATAAGGCAATTGTGGTACGTTTTTGCCTTTTCTTTATCATTTTCTTTAGTACCCCCTCGAAGTGTAGCTTAATTGCACAAATTAACTGTTGTACCAAGAATCAAGTTACCCTTTTAATTCTTAAATTAGTGCATAGCCCACGAATAAATAATATTAAATAATAATTATATATTAAATATGTAAGTAACCAATATTATATCATAATTCTAAATTAAAGATTTTGGTAAATAATAATTATAAATTAAAATTACTGGGTTAACATATCATATAATATACGTGTATCAATTTGTTGTAAATAATATAAAATTATCCTGTATAAGAAAATAAAACATGTATGTTTGAAATATTAAAAGTATCTAAAATATTATATAGCATATATAAAAGTTTCTAAGATATTATATATTATTATTGAAAAATGTGAAGTCACTTTTACTTCTAGATATGTCTGAAGTTAGTAAAATATGTCTATAAACATTTAAAATAAATATATATATATATATATGATGAGGTTCAAATGAGAACTAAATGCTAGTGTGAGAACCGCTATTTTNATATATAATTATCGACATTCGTAGTCTAGCCATAGAATAATATTGAAATTGTTATAAATATATGAGTATGGACATTACTAATCGATAATTGGGCCTGAAGTCCATTAGTTATGGAAATTAAGTTTTAGGGCTTCTCACTTGTAAACCCTATAAAAGGGTGATATACGATGAATAAAAGGATATACTTTTATGCTCTTCTGTCTCTTGTTCTCTCACTCGTTTCTCTTTACTTTGTTTGGTGTGAATTGATGAATGCTTGAGGATCCCAATTTACAACACGTTATCAGCACGATACTCTACCATCTAAGCGAATAGTGGCGGCATCAAGGCAAACGGGCAATCAAGGTAACAATCAAGAATTGATGTATGCCTCAGAAAAGAGATCATCAAAATTATAATTATGTCATCTTCCGCATCAAGTAAGTGTTTCGTATAACCAAATTCTTTATTCAAGATGAAGTTTACATATGGTATCAAAACATGTATTGTGAATAAATAATTTGTGTCTATAAGTCTCATGAGTTTATCTATGCGTAATTTCTATTGGGAGTTCGATTCATATGCATGTTTTAATTGTTTATGTTTCCGGGAAATTAATGGCATGAATTTCAATTATGTCTTGTTCGCGAATTAATTTCCTAAATATGATGTTCCAATTCACATAGCTTGTCCGTGAAAAAAATTTGTATCCTGTACGTAATTGGAGATTTGTTGTATCCATTAAAATTGAATCGTAATTATATGCGCATCAACCTGAAAGTTTGCGATGCCCTCGTTTTGTTTGAAAATCCGAATTTTTAATAGAGCATGTTCATTGTCGGCTGCTATCATAATTATATTCAATGTATAAAGGCTTTACACGTTTCTGCAATATGAAATTATGCATCTAATGACGTATGCATATGGTCAATTGGTAAAACATGTGTGCTATTAGAATAATTATTATGTCTTATTCATTCCATTTGGCAATTTTCTTTTTGATGACTGCGAATGTTTAATTGGTATAATACCCTATTATTTCTATAAGCCATATCAGTTGAGTTATTTTATGTATAGCTGTAATGTTTGTAGATTCAACTGTTTGATCTTGTCGTTTTGGATTTATGCGAAACCTGTTATTTGCCCCTGATTACTGCTTTTATTTTTGAATGGCTTAATTTGAGTGGTAAATAATTTGGTTTGGTGCATATATTCATTAGTTATTGTATCGAGCAGCAAAACTTAAGCATGAATTATTTGCTTGGTGGGATATCTGTACATGCTAAACAAATTGATTACATGAAACAATCAGGCATAATTAAGTTTTTAGGAATGCTAAACCTCTTAAGTTATTTGTTCAATTAATTGAAGTGCACTGTTTGACATATTATTTGAGGTACTGTGTAACTTGGACTTTGGTAATTAGAATTTTAAATTTTGGATTCAAATATTGGTATGAAATTTTATATATTTTGAGATATATTATTTCATTGGCATGATTTTCGCATAAGGATTCGGATATGAATAATATGGATTATTTCAATATATTAAGAATAATGATATAAAAGTAGTTTATTGAGATTGTATTAGTGCCAGAAGCACATATACAAAGGTATAATTTTTTACATGAGATATATGATAGAAAATTATCTCTATTTTGTGAGACAGTATGTTTCCTTTATATATATGTGCTTATTTGTATATGAGCATCTCTTGTTTGATATGTATCATATTATTCTTCATGTTACTTTTTCATATTTGAAAGTAGTAACACACGTATTTGTCCAGTAGACATTATACTCTTTATAAGGTTTATTTCGATGATATTTTGTCCATGAATCTGAATACGCATGAAACATATGTGGATTAATTTTAACATGTGAATATTGTGTGTGTCGTTTGGAATACATATGGTGAACCTATCAACATATGCAATTACGTCATGTATTTAGTTTGAAAAAATTATGGTTTCATATTTTGTTTCGTTGTTTATGCATTAAGTATTGACGTGATCCAAGATATTGATTCCAAATCAATTTGAATATATATTTTGAATTTTAGTCTAATTGACTAATGAACCAATGAATGGTATGCAACATGTATATTTATTTTCTAATTATGTCATGAGTTGTAGAGCAAATATCCTGTTGAATTTTATGCATATCGATTTGAGTTTCCCTGAAGGATTAATGTCTCCCTAGTGAATTTGAATACCTTATTGATCTAGATTTGGATATCCCTGAAGGATTGGTCCTGACCAATGTCTTCATTGAATAAGAATTATCTTGAGTATCTTTGACAGATTGATCTAGTAAACTGAAATTCACAACACCTCAACCCTAATTTCGCAAATAACAACAGCAGCAACATTTAATTTCCGAATTTATCAATAAAATCACAAATTCGAAGCCCTAGTTTATCAATAAAATCCCAATTCGAAGCCCTTATTTATGAACCCTAGATGCAAAGAGCCCTAAATTATCAATAAAATCCCAAATTCGAAGCCCTAATTTATGAACCCTACATGCAAAGAACCCTAATTCAAAATAAAAAAAAAATATAATGAACCCTACATGCAAAGAACCCTAATTCAAAATAAAAAAATATTATGAATCCTACATGCAAAGAGCCCTGATTTATAAAAAAAATTCCAAATTCGAAGTGAATTACCATAAGAAAAAATCCCAAATTTTTAAAAACATGCAATTTAAGAAAAAAAATCAAAATTTTGTAAAAATCCCCAAATTTTCGAGTTCAATAAAATCCCCAAAAATCAACATTGCTTACGGCTTTGGAAGCTTTGGAAGCTTTGGAAGAGGAAGATGGTTTGTTCGATATCAAGGGCTTCCCGGAGACGGACGGCTTTTTTGACCGCGGTATTTTGGTCGGAGACAGAGGGCTTCCCGGAGATACGACGACGCACCAAGACAGAGAAAGAGAGATGATAGACGATGCACAAGAGAGAGAGAGATGATCGGCGATTTCACAGAGAGAACCAGCGATTTCAAAGATAGAGATACGAGAAGAGAGAGAGAGAGAGAGTGTAGAAAGAGTAATGAATAATTAGGTAAAATAAATCAATAATAATATAATTAATATTTATATGGGGAGTTGGGAGGAAAGATAAATTTGTATTAGAGAGTGAATAGGAAGAATTAAAGTGGTGGGATTGAGGAGGAAATGAAAATGTGAGTTGGAGATTTATTAAGAAATATCCGTATGGACATAACTATTTTTGAAAAGAGGAAAAAAAAAACTTTTGAAAGGTGNATCATACCCGGTTGTCCTTGTATCTCCCCTTTCTCCGAACGCACGTACGGAGCGAAAATCAATAGAGGGAGTGTGTCGAGGGAAATACCAATCATGCACCCTATCAGTGCGGTGGCGCTGGTGTCCATGGCGATCAGGAACGGCGGTGCCGACCAGAGCGCCGCTCTGCTGGGGGCGGAGATAGAATTCGGGACGGTGTTGTGGTTCACGTATGCCGGTATTTCATGTTTCCTGGTCCTTTTCGCCGGCATTATGTCGGGCCTGACGTTGGGACTCATGTCTCTGGGCCTCGTCGATCTCGAGATCCTCCAGCGCAGTGGAACCCCGGCCGAGAAGAAACAGGCTGGTCGACCTATTTTCCCTTTCCAACGGATAATTTGATCTTTATTTCTCTTGTAGAGTTCAGTTTTTGATTTATTTATCGGTAGTGGGCGTTGAGGTTGGATGAATTTTATTTATTTATTTATTTTTGGGGATTTCTCTGTTTCTGGTAATAGCTGGCTGATACCTGGTTTTTAATTTATTTATAAAGGAATGAAAGAGAGAGAATGACCGCCGAAGTCATTAAATTGGCTTATTCTGGATTGTTGTTGTTGTTTTGAACATTTAATAGTTTTGATTGAAATCTTGAAATCACTGGACAAAGATTGGTTCTTTATACACTTTATAGAAATGTAAACTGGAAATATAGGTATGTAATTATGACATATTGTTCTTGACTTTGATATAGTAATGATGTTCTTATTCATATTGTTATAGTTTTTAAAAATGCAATGTTTGATATGCTTGTTTCTGATAAGCAGCAGTTTGATCTGGAAATGTGAGTAGGTCACATTCTTTTTTTCCACATTGCGGTTGATATGGATTCATTTTTGAAAATGGAACTTATCTGTTTTAGTTTATGGATTTACTGATTAGTCGGTTATTTGCACCAAGTGAGAAATCATGCATGAATATCTATTTTTGTGTGCTATTCTTATATCAATTTCCCTTGCTAAATAGAACTTTTATATTACATAGATAAAATAGTTTGAGTTACTGATGCTGGCTTGTAATATTGTATTTGTTGTGGTTGAGGCTAATTTAGCTTAGTTTTATTAGGCAAATGATTTATAATCATTCTTGCCACACATATGGGATTTGTACCATATGTTTGGGGCATACGTGTTGTTTGTTTATTTATTTTTTGCACTCACTATCTCTTTAATTTTATTATCTTATGAGTATTTCTTCATTTCTCCTTGATCATAAGTTCTTTTTGCTTTCAGCTGCGATAGTTCCAGTGCTAAAGAAGCAGCACCAGCTACTTGTGACGTTGCTTTTATGTAATGCTGCTGCAATGGAGGTGATTTTATTATTTATTCTTTATATGCTAATGAAATTATTATTATTTGTAGCAAGTTATGGTATTAAACATAGGACAAATACAGACTCTGCACAATATAGTGAGTACAGATAGGACCGCAGCTGTACATTTGAGATGGTCAATTAGTCATAATGGAACACCGCATAGATATCTTGTGTAGTCATTGACCTTTGTCAATTTATTAATTTTGCCTGCCTTGCCACCATATATAGAGAAAATAATGGCTCAAAACTAATATAGATTTACAAATGAAGGTGTAATCAAAGTCGGATTCTAAAACCAGGGATGCTTTAGCTTACATGCTACTGAGGAAAACAGTGCACTCACCAATATAGGCTAGAAAAGAAAGTGTTGGAAATATTTCCATTTCTAGCCTCTCTTTTCATTATCGAAACAAAACTCAAACAGATAGGTTTAATTGTTGGTCGCATGGTCAAACTAGGTTCAGCTACGTAAACTACTCGTTTTGCCTGTTGGAAAAATTCAAAATTTTGAGTTTCAGAAGAACCAAAATCGAGTAACCTTATATATTCATTCAAATACCTATAAATTTATTCATTTCAAGTTCTTTCTCAGCTTATTTTACTGAGCAAAACCTTGATAATAGTTCTACTTTATACATCAATTTCACATCCTGCAGGCACTTCCCATATACCTGGATCGAATTTTCAATCAATATGTGGCCATTATACTTTCTGTGACTTTTGTTCTATTTTTTGGTGAGGTAATTATTGGTTATATTGACCCAATTTATCAATTTCACATCTATTCTTGGTAACCCCAAGTGTT